TTCCCATTGAACTATTAACACAACTGAAATGACAGCTGGCCTATGCTGGGTTTTTTTTAACCAAAAGAATATGCAAAAAACGGTTTTACTCTAAAAAAGAACTAAAGTATATTCGCTGACAATTTCAGTACATCACATTGTTTCTTGCTTTGTTTCTGATCTAAGTATGCAAAAACAGAATCAGCACTATGGCTTTACATCTTTGCTGAGTGCCTAAATGTTTACTTGCGCATATTCACCAGCCAGTTAGATCCAGATTGTTCCCTGTATACAGATTCAGTTCCCCAATTGAAGAATGTCCCACTTTTTTCTCTATCTGTGAAGAACCCTACTAAAAGGTTACTGTCGGTCATTCCTCAGCGATATCTCTCTCTACAGCTCCAACGCCTGGCTTATATGAGAAGTGGCCCTTAATCGCACGAGCTGCAGATGAATGATAGGGGATCATCGAAGATATGAACCATGTCTAACCACAAATCAGTGTTATGTAACTGGCATAATGGCATTTTTCAGGATACCCTACTAAACAGACGCTGTGAAGAAACAGAGCAGCTGTGGAACTACAAATCCCAACAATCCCCAGACAGTAGTTCTATGGTACTGAAATATTTCTGGCTACTCTGTATCCCATACAGTGTAGCTGTATAATATACATGTATTAAAAATATCTGTAGGTTGTATGAAGTATGGGGGAGGATCATGTAACCTTGTAACAAAAACAATTCTACAGAAGCCTTTCTAAATATTTTTACCCTAGAGGAGGAGAAATCATTTTCAGATGTCAAGGAACCCGATAAAATAAATTAATGGGAAGTCAAAGGATAAAAATGTCCCTTACATTGGTGGTCAGTGAGAAGAATGCTCCCTTTACATTGAGGGTCAGTGGAAAAAATGCACCCTTATAATGATGGCCAATGGTAAGAATGACCCTCACTGTGGTGGTCAGTGAGAAAAAATTTCCCTTATAGTGGTGGTCAGTGTGAAGAATGCCCCTTAAAGTGGTGGTCATTGGGAAAATGCACCTTAGAGCTATGGCCAGTGGGAAGAATGCCCCTATAGTGGTGGTCAGTTGGAAAATGCACCTTATAGTGATGGAAAGTGGGAAGAATGCACCATATAGTTGTGGTTAGTGGGAAGAATGCCCCTTATCGTGGTTGTTAGTGGGAAGACTGCCCCTTATAGTAGCGTTCAGTGAAAAGAATCCCCCTCACCATGGTGGTTAGTGGGAAGAATGCCCTTTACCATGATGTTTAGTGGGAAGACTGCCCCTTTGGTGGTGTTCAGTGGGAAAAATGCCCCTTATAGCGGTGGTCAGTGGGAAGAATGTCCCTCATAGTGATGGTCAGTGGAAAGAATACCCGATAGTGGTGGTCAGTGGGAAGAATGTCCCTCATAGTGATGGTCAGTGGAAAGAATACCTGATAGTGGTGGTCAGTGGGAAGAATGTCCCTCATAGTGGTGGTCAGTGGGAAAAATTCCCCTTATAGTGGTGGTCAGTGAGAAAAAATGCCCCTTACATTGGTGGTCAATTGAAATAATATCCCTTAATTTGGTGGTCATTGGGAAAAATGTCTCATACGCTGGTAGTCAGTGGAAATAATACTCCTTATATTGGTGGGTATTGATAAAAAATGCCCTTACATTGGCGTCCACAGGAAAATATGCCCCTCTTACACTGGAGGTCAGAAGAAAGAATGGCCCTTAGAGTGGTGGTCAGAATGCCAACCTTACGGACAACTAAAAAGTTCACTGTTGACTTGCTGCTGGTTCTGCTAAGTGGTGCTGGACTTGGAACTATGCAGCCACCATCAGATGGGAGGTCGATCAGCTACAGCTCAAGGAACCCCAGCAACCTCTGGAGAAACCCTAGGCTTCCATGGCACTCAGGCGGAGGATGGTTGGTCTACAGCATTGATAAACAAACAGTTTGCTGTTGTAGACAGGTTGTTCAATCCATGAATTGTTTTCCTATTGTGACAGGGTAAAAAAAGTGCTACAATGCAATGTTTAGTCCTATATGTGATATTCTAGAGTTGACTTAATTAGACTGTTTAGTATAGTGTTTTGCATATGTATGCTGTTACTATCAGGAGTAGATAGATGCCAAACAAAATTCTGCTCCTCCTTGTAAACAATAACAATAAAGTATCTCATCTTGCTTGGTAGCTTATATAATTGCCATCTATTAGTAAAGAAGTATGAAAACTGAATAATAGGGGAGTCTCTCTGTATTAAAAGCCTGAGGGAATGTAGTAGAAAGATTAGTAATTGGGTCAATTCTTTGATTTAAAGCCATGATATAAGCCAACAAAAAGACACAGAGTGAGTTCAGAGTCCGATCTCTTGTTCTTTACAAGATCCTACTCTCAAATCTAATGGTGGCCATACACATCCCATAGTTGTTCAAACTGATCAAAACAATTGAATCAGAAATCAATGGAACAGCCATGATTCCCTGACTCATTTTAGATCATTTTTAATCAAACTGAGTCAATTGGACAGGGTGAAAAAGGATTGCACATACTACATCAAGCGGTCATTTCAACTGACCAAATTATGAGGTTGCCTGGTGGAAACAGAGATAAGATCGATAACTTATACCACATCAATCGGTCACTTCGACTGACCAAATTATGAGGTTGCCTGGTGGAAACAGAGATATGATCGATAACTTATACCAGATCAATCGGTCACTTCGACTGATCAAATTATGTGGATGTCTGGTGGAAACAGATAAGATCAATAACTAAGGCAGGCCATAGACATGCCGTTTATTGGCCAAATTTTTGGCCGAGAAATGAAAAATTGGTTGGCCTTGTTGCCGATGCTGCCACCACTGTCCACGAAAATGGCCGTTTTTCGTGGATTTTCCAGCATGACCGATAAAAATAAATGAGAAGATCCACAAAAAACTGCCGATGGGCTGGCACCACTAACAGCGTGAATATCGGCCGATTTTTTGTGCGGACGAAAATTCGGCCGCCGATAAACGAACCGTCTATGGCTTGCATTATACTACATCAATCGATCATTTCGACTGATCAAATTATGAGGTTGCCTGGTGGAAACAGAGATATGATCGATAACTTATACCACATCAATCGGTCACTTCGACTGATCAAATTATGAGGTTGCCTGGTGGAAAAAGAGATATGATCGATAACTTATACCACATCAATCGGTCACTTCGACTGATCACATTATGAGGTTGCCTGGTGGAAACAGAGATATGATCGATAACTTATACCACATCAATCGGTCACTTCGACTGATCAAATTATGAGGTTGCCTGGTGGAAACAGAGATATGATCGATAACTTATACCACATCAATCGGTCACTTCGACTGATCAAATTATGAGGTTGCCTGGTGGAAACAGAGATATGATCGATAACTTATACCACATCAATCGGTCACTTCGACTGATCAAATTATGAGTTTGCCTGGTGGAAACAAGAGATATGATCGATAACTTATACCACATCAAATCGGTCACTTCGACTGATCAAATTATGAGTTTGCCTGGTGGAAACAGAGATAAGATCGATAACTTATACCACATCAATCGGTCACTTCGACTGATTAAATTATGAGGTTGCCTGGTGGAAACAGAGATATGATCGATAACTTATACCACATCAATCAGTCACTTCGACTGATCAAATTATGAGGTTGCCTGGTGGAAACAGAGATACGATTGATAATTTATATATCTTCCAATTATCGATCAAATTCCACTTTTCCGTGTGTGTCATATCCATCGCTTGTGATGTTGACTATCAATCTGATTGGAAAAGTAACTGATGATTTATTGACGTGTGTATGGCCACCATAATAAAGAAAACAAGTTGGGAGATGGCTGTGTGATGATTGCCTTCCCTTCACACACAGGCTCCTTTGTCACCAGGTAGCCAGGCTGGCACATCTTCTGCCCAATCTGTTGACCTTGGTTGGGTCTCAGACCTGGACATCACAATCAGACAATACAAGGACAACAAGGTGACATCTGACAGGTGTCACTCATCAGCCAGAGACACAAAAAAGCGACAGATGGGAAGAAGAAGCATCAATGATTTAAATCTCCTTCTCTGTAAATGTAATCTTCTTCTTCTAAGAAATCCTGGAGATCTGGCTTGGATAAGTTAGGAAAATCAGGCGAAAAAGGGCGACTTACCTTGTTAGTGGGTTCCGATCCTGGGTGAGCTCATGAGATCGCTGCGGATCCCTGTGTAGAAGAGTCCCGAGTGTCTCCAGTCCGGACAAAGCTCCTCTGATGCTCTCCTGTGTGCTGTGATCGTATATGTTTGTCAGTCTCCCCTCTGCACAGTATCTCCCCCTCTCTGCCTCCGAGAGAACAAGAAGAAAAAAAGGCAGGCAGTGGTTTTTAACCCGGAGTTCCTTTTATAGATAGGAGGCTGAGCAGTACACCAGGGGTTACTATCGGTCACAGCTGTCCTGCTCAAGTCTGTTTATATGGCTCAGCTCTGGGCTGCCAGCACGTGTAGACAGGCCCCGCCTCTTAAAAGGGCAATCCACTCCAGATCACCCAGAGGAGGGGGAATTGAGCTTGTTTTCTTTTTTTTTGCTTAGAAGAAGACTCCATTTTCCCCCACTTCATTCATTCTCTAGGCGCAGGGATTCATCTCCAGCCAGTGCTAGCATTTTAGAGGGCTGTGTATTCCATTCTATAGAGTATGATGTGAGTGAGGTCATCCTGTCTGATTCCTGCTACATCTGTGTGGATGCTCCTCTCTAGGACTTCGATGTTCAATAACAAATGACGTCATCTGTTGGGAAGCTCAGGCATACATTGTAGGGACTGTAGAAGGAACCGTAGGACCACATTGTGAACAGAACAAGCCCAGGATGGTATATTGATCAGCATGCCTTTATCATACGGACGCTTTTAGGGCTCATGTACACTGCAGCTGATAAACTGACATTCAGGAGCTGTTCAGTGTTTTCTTCAGCAGCCCCTGAACTCTCCCTAATTATTATTATTATTATACAGAATTTATATAGCACCAAAAAGTTTGCTCTGCGCTGTACATTATAGTGGGAGCAGGGGTGGACTGACCATTTGGAAACTCGGGCACTGACCGAGGGCCCAGGATCAGTAGGGGGCCCCATGAGATGCCCCTGGTACCTTTTTCATAGGCTTTTTTGAGTTTGAGCAAGGACACACGGGCCCCATGGCCCCCTATTGCCCGGGGGCCCCATGAGTTGTCAGTCCACCCCTGAGTGAGAGACAGTACATGAGACAATACAGTAACAATACAATACACGAGGGGTTCGAGGGCCCTGCTCCTTGGAGCTTACAATCTAGGTTGGAGGGGATGGTGTTACAGGAGGAGATGACTGTGGGGGATGGAGTGGTAGGGGAGTGGAGGAGATCGGCTGTTAGGTGAGGGTGGGGTAGGCTTCTCTGAAGAGATAGGTTTTCAGGGTGCGCCTAAAGGTGAGAAGGGTAGGTGACAGATGGATTGGGGTAGTGAGTTCCAGAGGATGAGGGAAGACCTGGAGAAGTCCTGCAGTCGGGCATGGGAGGAGACCAGGGAGCTAGATAGTAGGAGGTCTTGTGAGGAGCGAAGAGTACGTGTTGGGTGGTATTTGGATATCAGGTCGGTGAGGTAGTTTGGGGCAGCGTTATGAATAGCTTTGTACATCAGTGTTAGTAGTTTGAATTTTATGCGTTGGGCAATCGGAAGCCAGTGGAGGGAATGACAGAGGGGGGTGGCAGATGCGGAGCGGTTGGTAAGGTGGATGAGTCTGGCCGCTGAGTTCAGGATAGACTGAAGCGGGGATAGTCTGTGATGAGGTAGGCCGGTTAGGAGGGAGTTGCAGTAGTCAAGTCGTGAGATAATAAGGGAGTGGATGAGTTGTTTAGTAGTGTCTGGGGTTAGGAACGAGCGTATTTTGGAGATGTTGCGGAGGTGGAGCCTGCATGAATTTGCTAGCAATTGGACATGGGGCTGGAAGGATAGATTGGAGTCTAGAGTGACACCTAGAACTTTGGCTTGCGGGGCGGGGACTGATGGAGGCATTATTGGTCGTGATGGAGAAGTCGGGGGGGGGGGAGCGCGGACTGGGGGGGAAAACTAGGAGCTCGGTTTTGGAAAGGTTCAGTTTGAGGAAGTGGAGTGGCATCCAGTCTGATATGTCGTTCAGTAGGCAGGTGATTTGAGCGGAGACTGAAGGGGTGAGGCGAGGGGTAGAGAGGTAGATTTGCGTGTCATTGGCGTTGAGGTGGTAGTTGAAGCTGTGGGAGTGTATGAGTTGGCCAAGGGAGGAGGTGTAGATGGAGAAGAGAAGGGGCCCAAGAACAGAGCCTTGGGGGACCCCAACAGAGAGGGGGAGTGAGGGGGAGGTGGTAGCGTTATAGGTAACACTGAAGGAGCGCTGGGATAGATAGGAGGAGAGCCAGGAGAGAGCAGAGTCTCTGATGCCAAGGGAGTGTCGAAGGCATAATGTTTTCCTGTACACTATGTGTCCATGTACACTATGTCATTTACAGTCATTTGAGTTTACAGTCGTTTTTTTTTGAACGCAGAAAACTTGCGTTCAGCAGTCGATTTTATCAGCGTTTCAAACACAAAATGCTTGTAAACGTGACTAATTGCGTTTATAATCGTTTGCGTCTGAAATTTTATTTTAACTCTTCCAGTTCCCAATGCTGTCCAGAGCCTTTTTTCATTATGAAAAATGCATACAAAGCGTTTTCAAGGTACTCAAATGGACAAAACACTGAAAACAGGATGTTCCTTCCAAGCTTCCTTCCAAGCTTGTCACACATAGTAATGACCAATTCACACCTCAGACCTCTCCCACCCTTGGAAACAAAAGATATGTTAATGACCATTCACACCTCAAATTCCTCATGAAGACCCCCTGCCAGGTGACCTTAATGACTCACTCCACCAGACACCTATCCCACCCTTGGAAACAAAAGAAATGTTATTGAGCATCTCACACCTAGCTAATGTCAACACATACTGCTGTCTCTGCTTCTACTCTGTGTATTTCTCTGAAATAATTAATAATTTACCACTTTTCAGTGCATTCTGGGCATTTGGGAGGTTCTCCTGTGTTTATCTTTAAAAAACACTTCTAAACACACATGCGCATAAACGCGTTATGCAAACACGGCTAAACAGACGTTTTTTAGCCTACGTTTTCCAGCAGTCAGTTTCCATCATTCAGAAGTGTCCCTTGTACATGGGGCCTTATGCATGTGTTTGGTTATAAATGCAACCCCAATTCTGAAAAAGTTGGGACGCTGTGTAAAATTTACATAAAAAACAATTACGTTAATTCCACATCTCATAAACCCATTTTTTATTCACAATAGAAAATAAAAAAAAAACATCAAATGTTTAAAGTTGTTCTAAGGGCTGAAGGTTTTTTACCGCCATGTGGTCTATGCACAAAGGTAAAAAACCTTCAATGTGCAACTCCCCCCTCAGCCCCCCAATACTTACCTGAGCCTGATCACGATCTTCACTACGCTGTGATGTCATATCTGGTAACTGGAACGCACGCCGGACGCTGCGTTCCAGAGCCATCTTTACTGTCTTTGTATCCATCTGAGCTGCCAGTTCACACACTATGGGAAATCTTCATTGGCAGAAAGTGATTTGATGGTCATAATTAATTGACCGAAGACATTTCTAGTTGTTATTATTTTTTTATTTCAGGTACTTATATAGCGCCGTCAATTTATGCAGCACTTTACATATATATTGTACATTCACATCAGTCCCTGACCCTCAAGGGGCGTACAATCTAAGGTCCCCAACTTACATTCATACATACACATACTAGGGCCAATATAGACAGGAGCCAATTCACCTACTAGCATGTCTTTGAAGTATGGGAGATAACCGGAGTACCTGGAGGAAACCCACGCAGGCACAGGGAGAACATGCAAATGGTAGGGATTTGAACCAGTGACCCTAGTACTGCCAGGTTGAAGTGCTAACCATTTTAGCCACTGTGCTATTATATTATACAGGTATTATATAGCACCAACAGTTTGCTCAGTGCTGTACAATATAACAGGAGACAATACAGCAACAATACAGTTCAATACAAGAGGGTTAGGAGGGCCTGATCCTTGGAGTTTACAATCTAGGAGTTAAACGTGAGTGCAATTGATGCATCTGTTTTTAGAAATGTAATTATTTTGACAATATTACACTATCAGTTTTTTTCTTTTTTATACTGATCGAATTGTGTGGGAAATCCTTCTATTAGAGCATTCTTCTGAGCATTGCAAACCCCTATTGCAGGATATATAATATCCACAAAATGTATTTGACTCTTAATCACTGACAGTCCACTATATTTGGTGAGTGCAGTGCATGTGGGTTTTCACCGATATTGTTAATACACAAGTTTTCTGCATACGGCACTTTTTTCATTTACTTCTTTGGAGCACATTGGATTTAAGATATTTTCATTCTTTGGATTGGGATTTTTTATTTAAGTTTTTTTATTTTATTTATTTATATATTATTATTATCATTATACAGGATTTATATAGCGCCAAAACGTTTGCTCAGCGCTGTACATTATAGTGGGAGACAGTACATGAGACAATACAGTAACAATACAATACACAAGGGGTTCGAGGGTCCTGCTCCCTGGAGCTTACAATGTAGGAGGGAGGGGATAGTGGTACAGGAGGAAATGGCTGTGGGGGATGGAGTGGTAAGATGAGTGGAGAATATCGGCTGTTAGGTGAGGGTGGGGTAGGCTTCCTTGAAGAGATGGGTTTTTACTGTGCGCCTAAAGGTGAGGAGGGTAGGTGACAGTCTGATGGATTGGGGTAGTGAGTTCCAGAGGATGGGGGAAGACCTGGAGAAGTCTTGGAGTCGGGCATGGGAGGAGGAGACCAGGAAGCCAGAGTGTAAGAGGTCTTCTGAGAAGCGAAGAGTACGTGTTGGGTGGTATTTGGATATCAGGTCAGTGATGTAGTTTGGGGCAATGTTATGAATAGCTTTGTACGTCAGTGTTAGTAGTTTGAATTCTATGCATTGTGCAATCGGAAGCCAGTGGAGGGAATGACAGAGGAGGGTGGCGGATATGGAGCGGTTGATAAGGTGGATGAGTCTGGCAACAGAGTTCAGGATAGAATGAAGCGGGGAGAGTCTGTGATGAGGTAAGCCGGTGAGGAGGGAGTTGCAGTAGTCGAGTCGTGAGATAATAAGGGAGTGAATGAGTTGTTTAGTAGTGTCTGGGGTTAGGAACGAACGTATTTTGGAGATGTTGTGGAGGTGGAGCCTGCATTTATTTGCCAGCGATTGGACATGGGGCTGGAAGGACAGATTGGAGTCTAGAGTGACGCCTAGAACTTTGGCTTGCGGGGTGGGACTGATGGTGGCGTTATTGGTCGTGATGGCGAGGGGCTGGGGGGAAAACTAGGAGCTCGGTTTTGGAAAGGTTTAATTTGAGGAAGTGGAGTGACATCCAGTCTGATATGTCGTTCAGTAGGCAGGTGATTCGAGACTGAAGGGGTGAGGCGAGGGGTAGAGAGGTAGATTTGCGTGTCATCGGTGTAGAGGTGGTAGTTGAAGCCGTGGGAGTGTATCAGTTGGCCAAGGGAGGAGGTGTAGATGGAGAAGGGGCCCGAGGACAGAGCCTTGGGGGACCCCAACAGAGAGGGGGAAAGAGGCGGAGGTGGCAGCGTTATAGGTAACACTGAAGGAGCGTTGGGATAGATAGGAGGAGAGCCAGGAGAGAGCGGATCTCTGATGCCAAGGGAGTACAGTTTTTTAAGGAGGAGGGGATGGTCAACTGTGTCGAAGGCCGCGAAGAGGTCGAGGAGTAGGAGGACTGAGTAGTGGCCATTAGCTTTGGCGGTTAGCAGGTCGTTGGTGAGTTTGAGTAGGGCGGTTTCGGTGGAGTGTAGGGGACGGAAGCCAGACTGTAGGGGATCAAGGAGGTTGTTGTCGTTGAGGTGGGAGCTTAGGCAATTATAGACTAAGCGCTCGAGGAGTTTGGATGTAAATGGAAGCAGGGAGATGGGTCTAAGGTTGTTCAGGTTGGTGGGGTCC